AAGAGATGAAAGCCGGTGTCTGTAAGCCGGAGACCACTGACAACGCACTGCTCGGCAAACTCGCCGACTGTAAGAAGAATTTCTATAACATTCCCGCCGACAAAATGGCTGAACACGAGGCCAAAGTAAGCCAGTTCACTTACTATATATTTTATAATTAGTCTTTAATTTTTATTAATCTCTATTAAAAGAATTTTTTATTGAAATAATGGTCGCACTATAGCATACAGTACAGTGCAATGCGTACATTATAGTCTATGCTGTACAGTATAGCTAATAAAATCCATTTTATAATTATTTAATTTTTAAAAATAAATAGTACGCAGATATTATGAAGGATTGTGTAAAGGATGATGAGTTGAAAGCGTACACCAAGGTCGATTTGACCAACAACATCAACAAGTTCACTTTGATGACTTGGTGTGGGGAGGACTTCAAGAAGTGTATGCACGAGAAGTGGCAAAAGGCTAAGGAGGCTAAGACCGAGGAAAAGGCTGACCCTGATCAAAAACAGCATCCCACCAAGGAGCAAAAGGCTGAATTCCAGGTAATTTGTAATTTAGTAACTCTTTGACATCAATGTTTATATTTATAGTTAATTAATTTAATATAACTAGCTTATTTATATAATATATTAATAATGTTGTTATTATTTTTATAGACCTGCCTAAAGAAAGCGATTAAAGCTTAAAATTGAAGCTTTAATAATGTATAACTGTATTTATATTATAAAATAAATACTTTAAATGTATGTATTGCAATGAATAGTATGTTCAATAAAATTGTTAAAGTATTTCTCTATATTTCAAAATATTTAAAAAATATATTGTACATTGTGTAATAAAATTCAGTACTCTATTGTACAATTTACCAAATTCCACTTTTTTAAAATCAATTATTATTGTCACAAATTAGTAACAATAAAATAACTATAATTTTTATTCATGTATCCAATTTCATAATTGGATAATTATTTAAAATTGAATTTAATTAAAAACTACACGACTTTTTAAAGTACGGTAATATCGTTTGCAATTCATTTGAATTTAGTTATTCTGAATGAATCTAATCTGATTGTAAAATATTTAAATGTTATTATATTTATTAACTTATTAAATATTCCTCAATAATATTGTTATTACATATAATATTATAAAATAGTAACTATTTACATAAAACAAATGTTATTCATTTTTTCGAGCAAAATTTAACGAGTCAATAGGATTTTATATTTTTATTATATTCATTATTTCATTCAATATTCTGGTGCCTACGGTGCCACCCTGTCCCTTATTTATAAATATATCCTAATTTAAGTGTTTTATATTTTACTTAATCTTCATTTTGTAATTAATATTGTGACCTCCCATGCCACCCTGTCCCTTATTGAAACATTTACATGAGAAATGTCTATACAGTATATTTATGTATCCTTTAATTTTAATACTCTTTCAAAAGCGGTGTTAATTATCTTTCTATGACTTGTAGTAGTTCTTGTTGTACAGACAACTCCCTGTGCCGGCCTACCGGTGACCAAAGCCAGTGGCCTCAATGGGAGAATATAATCCAGCAAAAATATATTCCAGCACAGTTGAGATTTAAATTTCGTTTCGATATCTGTATCAATTCCTTTGTTAATTTTATTTTAGGATAAAGTTAGCCTGATTGAATAAACTTTTGGAACCACCACTATTATAGTAAACATAACATCAAGAATTTTAATTAAGATATAAAACCATATTTGCAGTCACCAATCAATTATTTTTAGTATTCACTGTTTGTGCCATTTATATCAAATCATTCACATCTGTATTAACTATCAAACAGTTAATATTCAATCAATAAAAATTAATTTTTAAGTTAAATAATTGAGAAAATAAATGAGTTTATTCTAATTGTTATTTCAAAACAAATTATAAATACTAATTCATAGTGTCAATAGATTATCATAAAATAAGCAAGTTTATAATTATTATCATTTTAGTGACTATTGGCTGCCAGTGCTGTCTGGCCAATGAAAAGCATGGGTGAAAGGAGTTCCAGAAGAAGATGAGAGCCGATGTCTGTAATCCCGAGACCACTGACAACGTACTGATCGGCAAACTGGCCGACTGTAAGAAGAATTTCCATAAAGCAGACAAAACGGCTGAACAGGAGGCCAGGGTCAGTTTGTTATTATATTACTTGATTGATAACTTAATTATTAACCATAACACGGTTTAATTATAACACGCTAAATATATTATAGTCGCATTTAAGTACAAAGACACTTTATATTAGTGAATTCTAAGCTTAAGTACCATATATTGTATATTGTACAGCTAGTAATGTGTAAAAGGGTTATAAAATGAAACAATTTAAAATACATGGAATTTAAAGCTTTATATTATACTATAGTTTCTACAATAGTCATAATAAAATATTCATGGTGTAATTATGTTAACAATGCAACTTGGTACAATTAGAAAGCAGAGAACAGGAAGGAATGCGCAAATGAGGATGTTTTGAAAGCGCTGGTGAAAACATACACCAAGGTCGATCTGAGCTCGGATAGCAACAAGTTCATTTTGATGAACTGGTGTTCGGAGGGCTTCAATGCGTGTCTGCACGAGAAGGACGACAAAAAGCGTCACACCAGCAAAGAGTACGCTGAGTACAAGGTATAGTATATTTGATTAACTCATTACAACATCATGTATGTAATTATTATGAAATTATTTTAATTATTGTATGAGATATATAACATAATGTTGTTTTATTTGCACAGAACTGCATCAAGAATGCAATTAAAGCTTTAATTTGAGTGGTAGCTCTTCAGGCTTATTATTTATAATATGAAATACAAACTTTTAATGTATGAACAATATGTTTAAATAAAATAGTTAAAGTATATTTTAAAATTATTTTCTAAAATACATTTTATATTAAAATACAGTATATTAAAATTTTAATTTATTGATAAAATTAGGTGTTTCTGTTCCGAAATAAGAGTTTGGAAACTTATATACAGATTTCTAATGAATTAATACAAAAATTTCAAAAGTATTAAAACTAATGAACATTTGGATATTTTCTAATTAATAAAAACAAATTTGTTTAGAAACTAATAGAAATTAAATTGTTGTAAAAGTATTTTGTTGGGTCCAAGGAAATTATGAATTATTTAATGTTTAATACATTTGACAAAAATAGCTAATTCTTTGTACAGATTCTCATCACTTATGATACTTCATAAGGAAAATACGGTATAAAATTAATTATTATTTCTAAAATTATTTTATAATAAAATATCAATAGTCTCTATTCATAGTATCAATATATCTGTAGTGTAACAGCAAAAATTTTAATTGAGATATAAAACCATATTTGTAGTCAATATTAATTTATTCTCTTATTTTCTGTATTCAATGTTAGTGTTAGTTATATAAAATCATTCACATATGACATGTAATAACTATAAAACAGTTAATATTAAATTAATAAAAATGATTTTTTCGGTAAAATAATTGAAAAAATAAATAAGTTTATTTTAGTTGTTATTTCAAAAAATATAGATATTAACTCAGTATTTTCAGAATATTAAAAAACATACATTGTATAATAAAATGTTGTATTGTATAATCAAATCAATTTTGTTTATATAAAATTAATTATTATTTCCACAAGTTAGTAACAATAAAATATCAATAGCTATCCATTTTCATATGTGTTTAATTATCTAAAAAAATTTAATTAAAAGTACAGAAGTTGTAAAATACATATTACAATTGAATTGAGTAATCCATAATGAATCAGATTTTATAATATACTAAATTTACATTAATACTAATTATATCGAAATATATTTCGCAATAATATTTGTATTCCATATTATTTGCATAAAGACAAATGTTAGGTTAAATTGAAATATAATGAAAATAAATCTAATGAATAAACACATAATATATTTTTCATTACAATAGGTACACTGAGTTCACTTCAACTAATCAGTTTAGTTTATTTATATATTCTACTCTAATTATTTTTAAATTGCAACTTTACTTACAATTTTATAACAAATTTAACACAAACAATGGGCATATTTTAAATTTTTGTTTATAATTAATATATTTATTCGAAAATACAGAAAGTCAATAATATATTGACAAGTCAATTAAAAATACAAAAAATATGTAATAATAATAATAATAGTATATTGTACAGTACTATAACCTTTAGTCTATAAGCAACATAAAATAACTTATTCTTAAAAATTAATTAAACGGCATATTTTAATGGGAATACTGTAATTATTTAATATATTTAAAATTAAATTCCTTATAACTATTATAATTACTGTATCTATAATAAGTAACAGGTACCGTTCAATTATTAAATAGATTGGTACCACTTATTTGTATACTAGTAAACTCACATAAATTTAATGATTTGACAAGAAATTTACTCATATGTACACTGAACAAATAACATTCATAATGATAAGGTATATAATAGCTGAGTGGTAATGAAAAGATTTCAGTCAATAGTTATAAACTATATTTGAACCATACAAAATGAACAAGATTATAATTGTTGCCGTTCTAGTGGCCATTGGCTACCAGTGCTGTCTGGCCGATGAAGAGGCTCGTAAAGCATGGATGGAGTTCCACAAAGAGATGAAAGCCGGTGTCTGTAAGCCTGAGACCACTGACAACGCACTGCTCGGCAAACTCGCCGACTGTAAGAAGAATTTCTATAACATTCCCGCCGACAAAATGGCTGAGCATGAGGCCAAGGTGAGTTATGATATATTTGATTAATCTTAGTTGACAATTGTCCAATAATTAATATAATATAATATTTAGAGATATATTTAACAATAGCTTTGTGAGAATATGTTTTAAAATACTTTTTAGCTATGTTCTAATGCTTAGCTAGATGGTTTTATAAGTCTTTTTACAATTGTACCTGTACAGTATACTGAGATGATGAAGGATTGCGTAAAAGACGACGAAGTGAAAGCGTACACCAAGGTCGATTTGACCAACAACATCAACAAGTTCGTTTTGATGAGTTGGTGTGGGGAGGGCTTCCAGAAATGTATGCACGAGAAGTATCAAAAGGCTAAGGAGGCTAAGACCGAGGAAAAGGCCGACCCCGACCACAAACACCACCCAACCGCTGAACAAAAGACTGCATTTAAGGTCATTTATTTTAGTTTACTTATTAGCACCCTGTTCACACGTATTATAGATTTATTATGTTTTTAAAAATTATATTAACATTACATTCTTTTTAATTTTTGCAGACCTGCCTCAAGAATGCCATTAAAGTCTAAATAAATTTTTAATTATTTAAATTCAAAAACCATTTTAAATTTCAATAAACATTAAAACCCTATAATTGTATTGCTAATATTATTTATAATTTTCTTAGTAAAAGTTATAATTATATAAACTACTAAACATTTTTATAAAAATATAAATTATCTAAACATGTTTTCAAAATTATTATTTTTATTCTATAATTATTTACTAATAAATGTGATTCCGCAAAATTATATAATTATTTTGCTATATTTTGTTATATTGTAGTAAATTATTTGTTACTGATTCTATTCTGGAAAATTAATTTAATATTTAAATATAATTATTTTGCTTCTACGATAATAAAGAATTTTTTAATTTAAAAATTATTGATACTTCCCTTAAAAATCTAATATATTTTATGTTAACTCATAAAAGTTTTTTATTAATTTTTATTAGGTTCTTTTAATAAATGACTAAAAATTTATAATTTGTATTGACTGTAAATGGCTAGTGCTATATTTTAAGTTCAAAATTAATTTTTAAAAAATTAAGATTTATATTCTAACATAATTTTGTCATTCAATATTATGTATTTACTGTATTATCACAATCCATTTTAATTAATAATTAATATTAACACTATAAGCTTTGAAACACTATTATAATTACATTATATTTAAAAAGAATAAGAAAATTAATGAGTTTTATATGTGCTCACATGTTATTTATAATGTTTAAATATATTAATTAAAATTCAAATTCAAAAACAATTTATAATGAAAGTTTGTGATAATGGTTTATAATAAACAGGTTAACAATACCAATATCATTAGAGAATTATAAGCAGCAATTATTTGTATCCTTATATTATAATTGAAAGATATGAGCAAGTTGGTAATCTGCGCGTTCCTAGCGGCCATAGGCTACCAGTGCTATCTGGCCGACGAGAGTCCTCGCGAGGCGATCAAGAAGTTTTACAAAGAAGTACGGGTCGAGGTGTGTAATCCGGATACTTTAGACAACTCCATTATAGGCAAACTGTCGGACTGTATGCAGACATTCTTTCAAATTGAACAGATGGCCGATCATGTGGACATGGTACTTTGACACTACATTTTAAAATATTCTGCAACCTAATTATTTATGAATGTAATTCTTGTGCTAAATAGTACATAGAATTGGTTAAAGATTGTTTCACGACAGATGATTTGAAACCATACACCAAGGTCAATGTGACCACTAATTTGAACAAGCTAGTTCTATCGAGTTGGTGTTCCCGAGGGTTCGTACGGTGCATGGGAAAGAAATTTCAAGAGGCTAAACAGGATCAGACCGAGGATGAGGTGGACCCTGACATCTATAAGAAAGTCAATGGTGAACAGGTGGCTGAGTTCAAGGTAATTCATGTTTTAGTTTTAAAATAACATACAGTACAATAAAAATAATTAAATCCTTTAAAGAGTAAATTGTGGATATGGTGTTAATTTGTGATTTTTCTTTTTTTTGTAGACTTGTCTCAAAAATGCAACTAAAGTCTAAATAATTTTAATTGAGAATAAACTCTATAAAATAAATATTTTATATTTATAAAAATACAAACATTTTAACAATACATATTGAGATTATTTGTTTAACACCTTATACAATATCATTCCTTATATAATGAGATAAATACTTTGTAATAATTGTATTGTACTAGGCAAATTTGGATAGTTTGTACAATTTAAATATTTGATATAAATTTATATTAAAATTAAGTTAATTATACTTCATCGATTAAAAATGTAATTTGTAAATTATTTTCTATGAATTTATTAATTGAATAATTATAATATTAAATTGCTATAAATGCACTAATAAAAAGTAGTGTAGTTAGTGTAAGTAAACGGTGGACATATTTTGACTTCAAAATGTACTCAAATCTATTCATTTTATTAATTACTATTAACACAGTTGATTTAAAAATCAATATTATATTTAATAGATTAAGTTATCAATGGCACGATTGACAATCATATTTACTCACATGTTGTCTTAAATAATTTACCAATCTAATTATAATTACAATTGAAATACAAAAACACCTACTATAAATAAAATCTTATATAATAAGCCAACTATTCACTCATTTATATCATTAGTATCAGACATTATTGTTGAGTATCATTAAAATACAACATACCACAAACTATGAACAAGTTCATTATCGTAGCTTTCCTGGTGGCCATAGGCTACCAGTGCTGTCTGGCCGATGAGAGCACTAAGGAGGCGATGATGAAGTTTCACCAGGAGATGAGTGCCTCGGTGTGTAAGCCGGACACCACCGATAACGCCATTATGGGCAAGATTCTTGAGTGCAAGAAAAAATTCTACAATATAGCCGATGACAAACTGGCTGAACAGGAGGCCAAGGTACATTTTTGTATTAATAAAAATATTCTGTTATTAAAAAAAACTAAATTTTAATTTCATTTCTATTAGTACACCGAAAAACTAAAGGATTGCTTTAAGGACGATGAGTTGAAAGCGTACACCAAGGTCGATTTGAAAAGTAATCTTAACAGGATCATATTGTCCACGTGGTGCTCCCAGAGCTTTATGAAGTGCATGCATGAGAAGTATATGAAGGCCAAGGAGTCCAAGACCGAGGAGCAGATGGAGGAGTGCCACCAAAAGAGCACTCCTGAGCAGAGGGCAGAGTTCCAGGTCAGTTATATTAGTCCTACTATTATTGTATTAGTAATACCTTTTATAAAATTATGTTTTATTTGATAACCATTTTAAAATTCTTAGTTTAACAATAATTGTTGTTTCATTATCGTAGACTTGTCTCAAGAAAGCCGTTGGTGCCTAGATCAATTATACAATTATACGATTTTTGTTATATATGTATAATCTAAAAAAATTGTATTTTCATTTTAAAATGTTTTATCTTAAAAATTAAATTATTTATAGCAAGTTTAATAAAATTGTGTATAAATTATTTTTGTCAATAAATCTAAATATCCATATTTAATCAGATATTATTATTTAATCGTTTTTACTTTTTAAACATATTACGTTATCTCATAATTTATTGCAAGTATAATTAAAAATGTGTTTAAATAATATAACAATCAACCTGCACAAATAAATCAGAATTTATAAATGAATAATAAAACATGATATTAACTCATTAAAATTAAATAATAAAATTGTTTAACAATGCTAATTGTTGCACTTAATTAGCAGATTAATTATTAAAGTCTTAGCTACCAGTATAATGTCTCAATTTATAGTTTTATATTTATGCCTTACAATTGTGAGCTACTGGTGCTTTTGTATGGCCGATGAGGGCGCCGATGGCAATGAAGAACTGAAATCAATGCAATCGTTTCGGAAAGAGTTTTGTGTCGCGGATAAGACAGACACCGATGTCGTCAAGAAAGTCGTTGAATGCCTTACCAAACACTCTAAGGCACTAACCGATGATCAAAAAGCATTTCATGATAAGGTATATCAAGTATAAACTAGGTTAATAACAATTGTGATTAACATCATTGAAATTTTACTAGTTAAATAGTAAGCTTTTTAATTAAACTAAAATTGATTAGACTAAAAACGCGTCCAGAGAATGCATTAAGAAATCCGATGGAAACATGGCCTCCTATACCAAAGTGGACCTTGCTACAACTATCTATAAACACATATTGATAATTTATTGCGACAAAGCTTTCCAGATTTGTAACTTTGAGATATACAAGAATAGTACGGAATTGCATAATGAAGCTAAACGTATACACAAGTCTTTAAACAAAGATGATACCGCAAAACACCATGTGAATATAATTTAAAGTTTTTGAACAACTTAATATTTTCATATGAATTGATTTTTGAATGTAGGCATGTTTACTGGAAGCGGTCAAAAAATGATGCTGGTTCAGATTATGGTGCATTAAAGTAGTAATAACAAAATATGGGGGATTTTTAATAAGTAAAACCCCATCAATAAAATAATATTATTAAAATTTTAATTTAGACTTACACTATTACTAGTTATATTATTTGCAATACAATAAAACTATGGGTATAAATTTTATTAATAAATTATATCTTTTCAAATTACTTTTAATATTAAACGAGAATGTGGTTAAATTAATTTTAGTATGACATCTATATTTCAATATCATTAATTATGATAATTTATTTTTTATAAGTGTTTATTACATATAGACAAAAACTATCTAAATATAATATAAGTGGTAAAATTATTCTGGGAACACCATTGGAAAGACCGTTAAATGATAATGGTGCAATAAATTGTTATACTAACTCTTAATTCCTATCATTTTTAATTAGTGTAGCCTAACCTCCCAGTTTGACATGGAGTCTAATGGGTAATACATTAAATAGTTTAATATTACAATATATTGATATCTACTTATAAATAAATTTTCTATATTTATGCAATAATTTAACAATTAATTTAATGCTTGTAACCTTATTTTATTAAATCAAATAGTCTTGGTTAATATTCAAATACTATTGTTTGAAAGTAAGGTATTTCTATTGTTTAAAAACGCCGGGCGCTTTCACCACACAGGCTTGTATTGACTGTTCCCACAGTCCCTGAGCACAGGTATGTTCGCTGATTACCCATTGTTTTTCGTCTTTGCGTTCGCAGCTCAGGTATTGGCGGGCGTCGGACGGGTGTGCCATATATGCCCAGTCGTAACACCGGACGTCCTGTCCATCGATGAACATACTGGTGCGCACATCCGTGTCCACCGCCGACTCGCATCTCTGCAACTGTTGGTTCCACTCCTGGCCCTCAGCACAGGTATCCCCCTCTATGCCAAACCCTGTCGTTAAATAACCGCATCTAAGGAATCGCTGTTTGTCTGTGGGATGGGGTAGTATTCCGATTGTATAGCAGTGGACAGTATGTCCGTCGAAAACACCGGTAGCTTTGATGAGGGGGTCGGGTGTCATACAGCGCTGTTCCTTTTGAGACCATAGTCCTGACCCCTCACAGGACTGTTGGGTCAGAGACCAGGTCTTGCCGTTGAAGTCGCAGACGATGTACTTGTGAGCAGAGGTCGGGTGCGAGAGTCGCCCCCAATCATAGCACTGCACGGTATTGGTGTCGATGACCGCCGAAGCCTTCACCTCCTTGTCTACCGGCGCGCAGTGTTTGGCCGACTGTAGCCATACATGTCCTGATGGGCACGTGTTCACAGTTATAGCGTAGTCACCGTCCGCTGAGTAGTCGTAGTCGCAGCTCAGGTATTTCTGGGGGGCAGTCGGGTGACTCAAATAGCCCCGGGAGTAGCACTCGATTGTATGGCCGTCGATGACAGCGGTGGCCAAAAGGTCGTCCTTCTCGAGGACACACTTCTGGCGCCCCTGAGACCAGACAAACCCTGTGGCGCACTGTTGGACAGCTAGTGCCCAACCGGCCCCCCAAAAGGTGGCGCATAACAGGTACTGATGCGGATCGCCCGGGTATTCCAGACCGCCGTATTCGTAGCAATTGACTACATTTCCGTCGATTACCATACTGTCCCTCACCTTCTCGTAGTCAACGAGACAGCGCTGTTCGCTTTGGATCCATTTGGCGCCGACAGGACAGGTGTGTCCGCTTATCTTCCAACCGGAACCGTCGTTATCGCATAGCAGGTACCGGTGCGTGTCGTATGGGTGTGCTATGTATCCTCGATCGTAACACTTGACTGTATGTCCGTCCACTCGACCCGTATATACAGTGGTTTCGTCTTCAAATGGTGCGCACCTTTGGGATACTTGTTCCCAGTGTTGGCCTTTCGGACAGTCATCTACACCTATACCCCAGTTGGGACCCCAACTGTCGCAGACCAGGTACTTGCTTACGTTGGTAGGGTGTGCTTGATTACCGCGGTCGTAGCAGTAGACAGTGATGCCATCGATGACCTTGCTCGTGTAGATAGCCGTTTGGTTCAGGGTTTCGCACTCCTGTCGCCATTGGTTCCACGACTTGTCGGCCAAACAGTTTTGGACAGTTATCTCGTATTTGTCGCCCGACTGCTGGCACAGTAGGTACTTGTGTGGGTCTGTCGGGTGTGCCAGTCGTGAGGGTCGGTAGCAGGCGATGGTGTGGCCGTCGATCACAATCGACGCCAAAACCTTATCCACCACTTCATGGTTACGAATATTTACAGAAATAATAATATTTAACAAAAAATAATTATAATTTCATTTGATTTTCAATCGATGAATACCTCTGTCCTGAACGGCATCTATGGCTATAAATGCGGCCAAAAATAAGCCAAAAGTTAGCGCCAATCGACACATCATTTTGTGTTTTGGTTTTGTTTTCTAAAAACTCTATTTGTATTTTAATTTGAGTTTTAAATTAAACAATTGATATGTGGACTCGAGTTAAATCGCTTATATACCCGCCATAAACCGTGAGCTTACTGTACTTGACATCTGATTGTTAATAATATTGATCTTGACATATTATGTTTTTATTGATTATAAGTCCACATAGAGATAAAGCAAACATCTTACATGCAATTATTTATGCATTGATTTGTCTGTTATTTTGAAACGATTTATTATGAGATTACAGGTTCAATTTGATAATAACTTTTGAAATAATAACTAGTTCATTTTTAGGCAATACACTCAAAAATACACAGTAACACTAGGGTTGCCAACCGTCCTATTTTAGTAGGATTGTTCGCCTATCTGACCCTCAAAACAGTACTCCCTAGGATCTCAAATGTGATAACAAGCGTGATATTAACATTATGAACATAAAATTAATTTTTAATAAATAAAATATTTCAAGTAATAATGTATAAATGTAAAAATTACATTTTAATAACAAAATTTTATAGAAAATACTTGTAAAGTCTTTGTACTGTAATAATAACATTAGATACTGTACTTATTACAGTAGATTCTACTGAGTAGAAGTAAGAAAACAATATAACCAGCGCAAATAATTGATTAAAAAAAAGTTTATGGGAAAAATTATTTTAGTAATAAATCATAAATATTAAATAATGTGTATTTTTTGAGTATTGTCTAAAAATCAACTAGTTATTTTAAAAAATTTATTATCAAATTGAACCCCTAATCTCATATTTATACAGTATAATATTATTATATTAGACTTTTTAATTCATCACCGTTTTAAACTCTAATAGACTCCATGTCGAACCGGAAGGTTAGCCCACACTAATTACAAATGATTGTAATTAAGAGTTAGTACAGGTAAATTTTATGATATAAATAAATATTATTAATATAAAATAATTATTAATATAAAATAATTATTACAGTATTACTAAAAATACTTTTAATATTTTATATTAATAATAAATAATTTGAAATATTATATGAGAGAATTAATATAATATATACTATTGTTATTTTTATTTACATTTTGAAATAATAACTTTAATATAAGTTACAACCAATATAATCATGAGTATTAATACTGAACATATTTTAATTAATAGAAAATTATTAAATATCTTCATATTTAAATATTAAAATATTAATTTTTATTGAGACATCGCTTACATATTTTAATATCTAATTTTGAACACAAACAAATTGCATGAGTATTAATAAACTTATTCTCGATTTTGAATTTATTAAAAACTTTGGTTAACTTCGCGACACAAATGGTGCACACATTTGATAGCATAATAATAGAGAACCCAAACCATAGGCCTATCAATGAGCCAACATATGACACAAACTCCTCAAAAATGATTTTCGGTAAAGTCGTGTAAATGAGATCCGGCTGTCCGTCGACCCACATATAGAGCTCAAACGTAGACCAAGAATATTCTTGCGACGAGTTTTCAAAATGAAAATATT